CCTGTTCCCTAAATAATCCTTTCTTTTCTTTTTATTTACAGTTTGTAATAAATGGACACGATAACGATCATTGGAATTGGAACCTACAGGAAAATGAAAGCTGTTCTTTGAGGGTCTCCATTTAAGCCCCAATATGTTGCGCTGGAGATCTGCCCTCCGGCTTTCATTGCGGCTGCACTGCACGCACAGTGTAAGGACTGACCCCTTGCTGGAAAATTTAAAAAGATCTACCAGCAAATTTCATATCTTCCGGCTGGTTGGGATACATCGACCCATGCTTACCTTGGAGCATGTGACCTGTGCAATGAACTTACTCTGGCAGTTTCATAGTAAGAATTCCAATGAGTGGAGAAGTGTTGACCACATCCAAAAACACCCAGAATTTGTATCACTTTGTACTGTGGTAGAAAATAATATTGATCTCATGGATGATAATGACCTTGTGGATATTTTACATATTGCTGACAGGTAAGTTAAAGGGACATTAAAGGCAAAAAAAATGTTTCTCTCCCCCCAATGTTAATGTCAGCACTTACCTTAAATTATGTCTTTTAATCCACTCTTCTTCTTCTTTCCTGATGTTTTCATCTGTCCCTCCAGCAGTGCGGCGGCTCTCCGATCAATCGCGGACTCCTCGCTGCTTGCTGGCACTTCTGATCCCACGGTGTCTGCATGCGGGTGCACGCGTCCATAGACTTACCTTGCGTCTCTGCTCGTCTCCCGTCCGAGAATCCGAACTGCGCATGCGCCCGCCCCAAGATGCTTTGCGGCCGCACGAACAGTTTTGTTTTCTCGGATGGGAGCGCGCGGCGAAAACAAGGTAAGTTTAAACCGCTGTTAAAGCGGGGTTTTTTTTTTTTTTTTAAACTGTTTGCCTATATCTACTGTTTGATAGCAGTAGATATAAGCAAAAAACGGGAGGGATTACAACCCCTTTAAACTAATGTTCTTTCATGCTGATTTAAAAAAAAAAACTTTTCTTATTTTTTATTGATTGTTACTTATTTTCTTATTTTAATATTGCTTTTCTTCATGTTATATGAAGTTTTCAAGTGGATGCTCACAGTTCTTTAGTGCAGCGGCTGGTAACAGAAGGTTGGAGAAGGTTACAAAGGTGAGCGTCTTATCTCCTGTCCTTTTTTTCTTAGTCTCAGCTACCCAGTTATCTGCAGGCCACATTTAAGGCCCCATTCACACTGCGCGATTTGCATTTTGCGCGATTTGTCGCGCAAATGCTTGCATTGAGCAAGCTGGAATCGCGGCAAAATCCGCTCCAAAAAGGGTCCTGCTGTAGCGACACACGACCCGCGACAGCAGGACCCTTTGCCCCATTGCAAAGCATTGAAGAGCGATATCGCTCGGTAAATAGCCGCGATATAGCGGGAATTACCGCGCGATAAATCGCTCAATGTGAACGGGGCCGAAAGCCCAACTCCACGCAAATCTTTTTGTATTTTGGACATCAATACAATTTGTACTTTTTCCAAGTCTATTCAAAATTAAAAAAAAAAAAGTATAGGATGCAGCTGGGCTATAATGTCAACCACTTTTGAGTTGCCGGTGGATGCTGATAGGTTGTATCTTTCAGTGACACTGATTTTCCAATTGCAGGGGTAGGCAAACTCTGGCCCCCCAGCTATGTTGCAACTACAAATCCCATTAGGCATTGCAAGACTCTTGACAGCCACAGTTGTGTTTCCCAGAGGCAGATGCATGATGTGATTTGCAGTTTCACCGCAGTTTAAGGGCCAGGGTTTGCCCACCCCTAATATAGGGTAAGATTGCTTAACAGTTTATGTAGCCTATGTTAAATATATATGTATGTCTTTTTTGGATGGAGGGCGGGAATTTTAAAACTTTTTTCCCTTTGGGACCATTTACCCTCCTTTTTGTATGTCACCGTAAAAGGAATCGAGTGCAAATCTTCCCTGTTTCAGTGACAGCTGTCTAGGGAGTCTTCCATTCATTTTTGAGAGATTTCTCCTCAGTTCCCATTGTCTCTTGAGGACAGGAAGTGAAGCAAAGCCTCCTTATTGTAACAGAGAGTGGCAAAACAAAACCTAAAATTACTTGACAACTAAAGCTAAAGTTTTGGTTTTAAATATGTTTTAAGGGCAGGGGGAATCTAGACTTGTATCTCTATTATGGCAGGATAGCGCCATGATCTAGCTGAAGGGATATAGCAGTAAGAGTCTTTGGTGAAGATTTAGAGGTATTTGTCACTGTCCAGCCCTACCAGTTCAGGATTCTGTGAAGGATTTCAGTTTCAGCATGTTATCCAGGCACATGACCTGATAGTACAATATGAAATTCAGTATGTATTTAGAGTAAAACTCAGACATCTCAAATCTCCCGGCCTCTGCTGCATTAAAATCCTGAGCAGAGTTGGTAGCCCTGTTTGAGTCCTCCTCTGTTGGACTACACGTCTCTCCCTTTTGTCATGCAGATGAGGATAGGCAGATGTGTTCTGTAGTCTAGCAGAAGAGAACTCAGGCAGGACTTATTGCACTGGTGGGAGACATCATTGCTAACCCAACATTAGGGATTGGAAGATCTCGTTCCATCCCTGTACACTTTATTTTGTGTGAAGCATGATGAGACCAGCTCAGGTGTAAAAAAAAAAAACCCAATATATATTTCGAGTGATGGGGGACATCTCTACCCTAGCTTGTGCTATACTAAAGAGTCATTAGTGTGGGACACAGAAGTGGACAGTCTGCTGCCCTAATTGATGAGCTCTGCACTGCTGGCCTTGAGAGCATATATACGACAGCGTTGGATAAGAGTGACACCTGACTGTGTAAAGACCTTTTTCAATTATAGTATCCAAATGTATAGTGTACACTGTAATGTGTTGATTGTCATGCAGCTTCAGGAGAGTACTGAAAGATCATAGGATATGTAGTTCTACTTTTAATGCAAACTTACTGCCTAGCTGAACTTATCATCCCTACAGGAATTCCCATTGGACTGTTGTGTAGAGTCATTTCTGCAGTCCATAGGGAAACGTGTTTGTAAAAGAACAGAAGCAGGCAAATATCTACAAGAGTCCTCTAATATATTTTATATTCTTGTAACTCAGGCTTGACCTCCTCTCATTGTCAACATTTGCTGCTTGCTTGAGAAGACAAAATATGACCACTAGTCCACTCATGGGTCAGATAGCCAGCATTGTGGACTCGACCCTGGATGATTTAGATGATCCTGTGTGAGTATATAGTCCTGCAATAAACTCAAACATAGTATGTGTATTTATGTTTATATGTAAGTCTGTAAAAAAATTAGGGATGCACTGGTGCTGATACTGGGCATTTTTACAAGTATCCGTACTTATGAAAATGCCCCAAGACTAATTGCCGATGGCAGCGCCTTACATTTTTTAATGGGGTTGGCTGCCTGAGGACCCGTGCTCCATGCAGGCAAAGCTCTGGAACTTCTTGGTAGTGTTGGAGCCTGCATGGTCCATTATTATTAATTAATGAGGAAGCCTTGAAAAAAGCGAGGGGGCCAATAGGAATGTGTGTGAGAGTGACTGGGACTTCAGCACTACCAGGAAAGGTCAGAGCTTTCCCGATCAAAATGGCTCTGGATTCAGCTGTAGAAGTAGGAACTGCAGGCTGCTACAAGTTTGTGCAGGTATTGTTGGGTGCATGCACGTTTTAACTGATAACAGCTCATTTTAAAGCAGAACATCAGCTAAACCTGTTGTATTTGTTTTGGATAGAGAAGGGAATTTTATTGCTCTGTTACCAAGAGATTTTCTTTATTTCCTGGTCTAGAAACATGACAGGAAGTGGATCTGTAACAAAATAAGTCAAGGCAACTGGACTTGCTTTATTTTTCTCGAAGACGTGTCACTGGTCATCCGACCAGCTTTCTCGATTTAGAATTCTGTGAAACATCTTCGGGAAAAATACAGCAAGTCCAGTTACCTTGACTTATTTTTTTTACAGATGTACCATGACCTGGATAAATGAGAACCTTCACAAACATGACCGGAAACTGGTAGAAATTCCTTTGACAGTTGTCTCCGAAACGGGTGTACTAGCTTGGGGGATGGAGGAACGGGAGCGGCTTACTTTTATGTGTCTTTGTGTTTTGAGGAGACACACGAACCTGCAAGGGAAAGGAGCAACCCTAAAACAGGATATCAGGGTCAGTGTTCAGGGGACAAGCTGAATTTGCAGGAAACAAAAACTTAAAAAAAACAAAATATTAAGAAGCAGCACCCATTAAAAGTAATTTTTGAAATAGCTGTCAATTTAAAGTATTCAGCCTTTCCAGTGCAGTTGCACCAGTACTGCTGTAATCTTTCTTTTATTTCTTCTATTCCATAGGACACTCTCCAGTTTCTTATGCAGCTTGTATGCTGTGAGCTCACCCCGTCTACAGGAGCGGCTGATGGGAAAGACAGAGTCCTCCATAGAGAAAATGGACACTTCTTATTTTGAGACTGCTCTCCAACTTACAGACATTCTCAGTAAGGACAAATCTATTTTATCCTTGATGAAGAAGTGTGACAGATTTTTCCAGGAGAATGTTAGTGCCATAGATTCACAGACTATATGCAACATTATGAGAGTGTATCAGTCGCAGCATTTTACCAACTGTGAGTTCAACGTTGCGGCAAAGGCCAGGCTGATGAAAGAGGTGGACCGCTGTGATCATCCAGACTGTTTTGCTGAACTCTTTGTTATCCTGAGCCCTATTGCTTCTTTGACAACGAGAGAAAGGTAAGTCACAATGAGATAACCAATCATAATACCTGTATGGGAAGCCTTAGAACGGCATTCTGTGACTCAAGCCACATATTGGTTCTGAGTAGGGATGCTGATCTTAATCAACTTCACAAGTAATGTCACTGCCATGGAAGTAATATTTAGCCTTGCCCACATCGGTCACATGACTAGCCTTGGAGGGATGAGGGGATAACTGATTTAGTATATACCGTCCGTATTTTTCGCTCCATGAGACACACTTTTTTTCCCCCCAAAAGGCGGGGGAAAATGTGTGTCCGTCTTATGGAGCGAATCCCTAGTTTTTGGTACTTTTAGCCCAGCTAAAGCAGAGCTAAAGGTACAATGGAAGCCGCTGTTCGTTTAATACAAGTGATCTATCCAGATCACTTGTATTAAAACCGGGCCGCCGCCGTGGTTTTCAGGTAACCACGGGATAGGAGCTCGCCATAGAGCCCCTAGAGCAGACGAAGAATATCCGTTCTTCGTCTGCTCTGTGTGATCACTGAGAATGTGGCGCTGTAATCACAGCGCCAACTGTCTCAGCAGTCACTTAGTCACTTACTGCAGCTTCTGTCACAGAAACTGCCTGCGTCCTATGTAGCGGTGCACCTTCTGGAGCGCAAAATACGGTAAGTAGAAAAAAAACTGATGGTAATTAGGGATGCACTGATATATCGGCCGCTGAAAAATTTCGGCTGAAAATTGCACTTTTGGCTAAATGCCGAAAGTGACATTTTTCCTGCCGATACATCGGTGCATCCCTGCTTTCTTTCCTCTCCGCTGCTCTGTGTCCCAGCGGGGAGGAGAGAAAGTGTGACGCCGGCCGCTCACACCGCTCTCCTCTCACACCGCTCAGCCTCCTATCACAGTCCAGCAGAGTCGTGTGTGGGCGGAGGCAGCCCGCGCTGTCACAGGAGGCTGAGCTCTCCTCCCTGCTCCTTTCGATCAGCCTCCTGTGACAGCGTGTCAGGAAGGAGAGCGGTACAAACACTCAGCAATCACAGATCGCTGAGTGTTTGTAGATAATTGAGGACATTGTATGTGTACTATATCCTCAATTATGAATGAATGGGAAGTGAACTACATCACCTCCTGTTCATTCATAGTTGTAGTTATAGTAAACATACTCTGTTCTCAACTTATGAATGAACAGGAACACTCAGTATAGAGGATTCCTGTTCATTGATAACAGGGGATACAGAAAAAGAGATTGAGGACTCTGTGTTCTCAATCTCTTTTTCTATTTTAAAAGGGAAATATCAGGGGTCTGTTTAGACCCCTAATATTTCCCTGAAGCCCCTAAAAGTAAAGTAATAAATACAAATATTGAATAAAAAATTAATGACTAAATAAAAATAAATATAAAAAAATTAAAACGTCTATAAAAAATAAATAACATTTGAAAAAATTAAAATAAAAAACAGTTTCGGTTTCGGCCTGACCATTTTTTTAAATTTCCATTTCGTTGCACCTCTAATGGTAATATTTTATTATATATGTGACATATTATAAAAATGGATCCAAGCCTGAAATGCAATAAATATATAAATAAGGGAAATATTTTTCACCTTTAAAATAATGTGTTTACAAAAAATTTGAGTGGCAAAGCTTCCTGATTGGCCAGAAAGCTGGCTTCATGCTCCCTCGTCACCTCATGGCGATGGAGCATGGAGCCAGCTTCCCGGCCCATTAGGAAGCCTCTCATGGCGATGGAGCATGGAGCCAGCTTCCCGGCCAATCAGGAAGCAGGGCACCGCGTCATTACACGATGCCCGGCTTCCTGATTGGCCAGAAAGCCGGCTCCATGCTTTCTCGTCACCTGGTGACGAGAAGCATGGGGACGGCTTCCCAGCTAATCAGTAAGCCAGGTGGTGAGTCATTACATGCCGCCTGGCTTCCTTAATGGGACTTCCGGTATCGGTACTCGATACCTAAATACCGGTATCTGTGCATCCCTATTGCAAAGACTCCATCTACACAGGCACATCTAAAAGGTAAGACATTTTTGTAAAAAATATTTTTTTCGGTATGCTGAGTGAGTAGGAACACATCCCAAACATATAGTGGGGATTTTCTCAGATTTGACAGCAAAAGTGGAAATACACTTTAAGTAAAATCCTGATATCAGCACCAGTCATTTTGACACCTTAAAATATTAACATTAAAAATGATAAATTATGTAAGGCCTTAGACTTGTTAAATTCACTTCTTTAACTACCAATTATCTGTCTTAGGCTTGAAACGAAGCTCGCAAGCTATGCAGATCAGATGTCTCTGATCAATCTTCAAGATGTTCTGAACATAATGGCCGTCACAAAGTCTACAAGCACCGCGCTCATCCAAAAGTAACGTTTTTGTATTGTTTATGTTTTTTCATTGAAGTTATTTTTGCAGCTTAACCCCTGGAAACTTCAGTCATATAATCTTCATGTTGGAATTGTTCAAACACTATTGAAGGGGGTTCCCAGGATAAAGGAACTTTAATGCACGGTGTGGAGGCTGCGGCTGGGTGAAATCTGGCAAGCTCTGTGAATATAGAATACTATGGAATTAAAATCAAAAGGTTTTTACGCTATGGATGCTGCTGCTTGATGTTTAAAAGTTTAACTGCAGAATCAACTGGTCCCCTGAGCACTGGTCCTGACATCCTGTTTTAGGGTGGCTTCTTTACCTTGGAGGGTCCTATGGAGCCACCCTTGTGTATGGCAGACATACTCTTTGACTAAACGGCAGCATATAACTGCATCTGCTTAGTTTCATTGTAGTGGAAAATATAACTGTATTTTTTGTTTTAGGATCTGTTCACGGCTATGGAAGCATCTGGGGGTGTGCTCATCGGACCAGCTATGTAGCATCGCAGAGACTGTGATGTTACTGGGCTCCCAGGATAGCGGTCTACAAACAGAACTTGAAATGCATTTAAAAAGGTAAGATTATCTATTTTTATGTAAATTAGTTGTGCTGAATCTTTTCTGTCTAGTTCACTCATTTAGACCACTAGTACTGTAATGCTCCTTCCACGTTGTTTGCACTGCAGTAGTGTACATGTAAGGCTGTAGGTAGCCTATTGACACATGCTGGATAGAGGTACAGCCACACCACTCCCACCAGATAGATCTTCAATGCATCTGTACATAATATGCCCTGTTGACTGGCACAGAGCATGTTTGTGGTCTTCTAAGACGTTTTTTGGCACTGTTATTTCCCTGCAAGCCACGTACACTTTGGTTGACTTTGGATTATTAAATTTAGGAAAAGCGTAGCAGTTTATTATTATTATTATTGTTTTTAGTATTATTATATTTAGTATTAAGAATATTATCAGGGTTAAGGATCTATATAGTGCCAACAGGTGCATGGCTTTACAATATACTGCAGGGGTGCGGAATTCCTATCGCCCAGTGCCTGGAACATGCAGTTCTAGGTGCAAGGCAGGTGTGTTTTTCCCCCCGACATTTAGCCCTGCTGTGGGCAAGCAGGGCTAAATGCAGATAGGGGAACCCGCCGGTCATTTTTTACAAGTAATCTGGGCAGCTGTACAGCCGCCGAGATCACTTGTAGCAGCCTGCTTGTCCGTCCCACTGCCACCAAGGGATTGGCAGAGAATGGCTGCTGCCATCAAGCAGTTGGTAAGGTGAGTAATTCTTACAGACATTTCTTATAAATGGTGTAGTTGTGACAGAACCTGTACATTATGGAGACTGGTATATGGAGAGCATTTTTAAACATCTGTTTAATTTAGATCCGGGCTGGACAAATCCCAGGAGCCAGATAGCCATAGCTCCTTCCAAATTACAGCTAACCTTTTGAGGTTTTCTCTATTTGTTCTCAATAGAGCTGACTCCTAAAAAATCCTGCTGGCTCCTAGATTGGGCAGATTGTCTCCTGAATTCCATATTATGTGCCTGATTAGGAAGGAGCTCCAAGGGAACGAACAATAAAAGTGAGGAAATAACAGGGATGCTGGGAGACATCCGTCGGAGTGTAGTAGTTAGAGAGAATTTATTTGTACAAATAGGGAGAGTGATTCTCATATGAGTGGGGTTGCAAGATTTCCCATGGCATGCAGGAAATATTTCTGTCACCGCACTCAGTGCTTGTGAGGATGATTCTTTGGGCAGTCCAGAGCTGGAGGGCAGTTGGTTTCTGATGTTGTATGTAAGAAAGAGGGAAGACCCCCCAAAAATATGGTGTGATGAATCTTTGGGCAGTCCAGAACTGGAGGGCAGTTGGTTTCTGATATTTGTATGTAAGAAAGAGGGAAGACCCCCCAAAAATATGGTGTGATGAATCTTTGGGCAGTCCAGAACTGGAGGGCAGTTGGTTTCTGATGTATGCAAGAAAGAGGGAGGACCCCCCCCCCCCCCCCCCCAAAAAAAAATAGAGATAAGGGTGAGCAGAGGCCCCTCAATTAGACAGATGACTTGAAGTCGTGTTCATCATTTAACATAAATTTTTATTATGTGAAGATCATCAATATAAAACACCATCAACGTGTTTCATGGTTCTGAACTGACCACTTCTTCGGGAAGGTGAGGACACCTTTCAGGCGGTGTGGCAGCAGCTCCTGATGAGGTGCCCCTGCTTACCCTCATCTCTGATGATGTTTTTTTTTGGGATCTTCCCTCTTTCTTGCATACAACATCGGAAACCAACTGCCCTGCAGCTCTGGACTGCCCAAAGAATTCTTTCTTCTTAATGTGCCCACCTGGTTTAGACTCATCTGAAGCCTATTTTTCTTTCTTATTTCAGGCGCATGTTGTCAAGTTTCATCCCATCTAATGTTGCACAAATGATGGCAGCCATGTCTTTCTTGAACCCTTACCAGATAGATGAAGTCGTCATTTCTAAGCTTTATGATAACCTTGCTCAGTGCAACTTCCTTGACTTAAGTCGTGTGACATCTGCGGTCATACATGTGTTGCAGTCCACTGATACTGCTCATAGAAGAAATGTTTGGAAACTCCTTACGGCAACGAACAACCTTAGACTGAAGAAGGTGAAAAAAGCAAAGTGTTTGGACTCTCTTTTACTTGAAATGAAAGATAAAGAAGGTACCTCAAGAATGGAGATGGAACTTGTAGAAGCCACATTAAATACCTTCCAACGTTTAATAGATCAGCTCAGCTGGAAGAACGTTACTCAAGTTTCTGTCTTAGTCCTTCGAATGAACACCCAGTGTCCTGCTCTTCAGGACAAAATTGCAATGGTAGTTATGGATAATCTTGATAAGGTAATGATAGCTTATTACTGTATGTTAATATAATAATTAAGAATAATTGTCTATTTTATTTTGTGCACGGTGTATACTGGAAGATTATCTGAGAAATTAGTCTAGTCAGTTGTCCAGCGCTGAGCCTGTTGCACAACATTGGCCTCAGTAGAAACTGCAACACAATCCTTTAGATCAGAGATGAATTCAAAAAAGAGGGGGGACCCCCCCCCCCCCCCCCCCAAAAAAAAATAGAGATAAGGGTGAGCAGAGGCCCCTCAATTAGACAGATGACTTGAAGTCGTGTTCATCATTTAACATAAATTTTTATTATGTGAAGATCATCAATATAAAACACCATCAACGTGTTTCATGGTTCTGAACTGACCACTTCTTCGGGAAGGTGAGGACACCTTTCAGGCGGTGTGGCAGCAGCTCCTGATGAGGTGCCCCTGCTTACCCTCATCTCTGATGATGTTTTTTTTTGGGATCTTCCCTCTTTCTTGCATACAACATCGGAAACCAACTGCCCTGCAGCTCTGGACTGCCCAAAGAATTCTTTCTTCTTAATGTGCCCACCTGGTTTAGACTCATCTGAAGCCTATTTTTCTTTCTTATTTCAGGCGCATGTTGTCAAGTTTCATCCCATCTAATGTTGCACAAATGATGGCAGCCATGTCTTTCTTGAACCCTTACCAGATAGATGAAGTCGTCATTTCTAAGCTTTATGATAACCTTGCTCAGTGCAACTTCCTTGACTTAAGTCGTGTGACATCTGCGGTCATACATGTGTTGCAGTCCACTGATACTGCTCATAGAAGAAATGTTTGGAAACTCCTTACGGCAACGAACAACCTTAGACTGAAGAAGGTGAAAAAAGCAAAGTGTTTGGACTCTCTTTTACTTGAAATGAAAGATAAAGAAGGTACCTCAAGAATGGAGATGGAACTTGTAGAAGCCACATTAAATACCTTCCAACGTTTAATAGATCAGCTCAGCTGGAAGAACGTTACTCAAGTTTCTGTCTTAGTCCTTCGAATGAACACCCAGTGTCCTGCTCTTCAGGACAAAATTGCAATGGTAGTTATGGATAATCTTGATAAGGTAATGATAGCTTATTACTGTATGTTAATATAATAATTAAGAATAATTGTCTATTTTATTTTGTGCACGGTGTATACTGGAAGATTATCTGAGAAATTAGTCTAGTCAGTTGTCCAGCGCTGAGCCTGTTGCACAACATTGGCCTCAGTAGAAACTGCAACACAATCCTTTAGATCAGAGATGAAGGTAGCTGAGGCTGTCTGCGGTGGTAGCTGAGGCTGTCTGCGGTGGTAGCTGAGGCTGTCTGCGGTGGTAGCTGAGGCTGTCTGCGGTGGTAGCTGAGGCTGTCTGCGGTGGTAGCTGAGGCTGTCTGCGGTGGTAGCTGAGGCTGTCTATCAGTCAGCCAATCACAAAAGCAGGAAATGATGTTTCTGGTGGTGTTCTGTATACCAAACTGTGTACAGGACGCCTCCAGGTCGCCGTATTGCATTGGATTTGTTTGACAGATTTAGAGCATTACAGTGGCTTCAGTTTAAAATGGAATAGTAATAACTTGATAACATTAAATTATAAAATGGCGTGTTCTGCAATTATTAATGCTATGTTCATTTCCTTACAATGTTTTTATTCTTTAAAGTGGAGTTACCCTTTAAAGTTTTTGGAGGCCTTGCTATATAATAGGCTCAGGATGTGTAAGAGGGAGAGACAAGCTTTGACTTCTACAGTAGTAGTCCAGCACGTTGTTAAATGTACCACTTTCTCTTTCAGCTCTATGCATCTGCTTTGTACCCTAATTTACGGATGTTTTCTTATATGAATCACACACCTCCCCAAGGGAATGAATTTTTTGATGCATGTGCACAGCATTTAATAAATAATATGGGTGAGTATCATTTTAAGATATATGTTTTCTTTTACTTTCAGCAGAATGATACGTTTGCATTGAGAGACTGGAGCAGTTAAGAACAAGCAGAGTGCTGTGCTACTAGGAAGAATTAACATGTATAATACAAAAAATGGTGACATACTGGATGTGCACATATGATTGCAAGCTATAGACAGGCATTTTTTTGGAAACTTAAACAGACATTGTTAAGGGTATATTATAAAGCTGACCACATTGGTATACGTATTTTATACTTCTTGCTTTATTTATGTTTGTGCTTTTTGGACAAGCGGCAGAGCAGAACAGCTGAGTAGGATATAGACGATGTTTAGGGTTGTGAGTAGAGGTGCACCGAAATTACATTTTGTAAGCTACAATAAAAATTGTCAGGCCAAAACCAAAAACTATTTTTTTCTAATATCTGTAAAAAAAAGAAGTCAAGGCAACTGGACTTGCTGTATTTTTCTTGAAGACGTTTCACTGGACATCCGGCAATTCAGAGAAAATCTGGTAGATCTGTATTTTTTTACAGATATACCATGACCTGGATGAATGAGAACCTTTACAGACATATTTTTTGCTAAACTTTTTTTACATTTTTTTTTTTTTTTAATTTACTTTCTGTTTTTTAATAAATATTTGTATCTTTTAACTTTACTGTCGGGACTCTAGGAAATTTTGGGGGTCTAAACAGGCCACTGATATTTCCCTTTTAAAATAGAAAAAGAGATTGAGGACAGAGTCCCCAATCTCTTATTCTGCAGTCCCTGTTATGAATGAACAGGAATCCTCTATACTAAGTGCTCCTGTCCATTCATAACTTGTGGAGATGCTATGTTTACTATATCACAATCATGAAAGGACAGGAAGTGATGAAGAGCACTTCCTGGTCATTCATAATTTGGGACACAGTAAACATACTGTGTCCTCAATTATTAACAAGCAGTCAACGATCAGCTGATTGCTTACTGCTTGTACCCACTCTCCATCCTGACTCGCTGTCACAGGTGGCTGAGCGTGTGTTGCGGGTGGAGAGCTCAGCCTCCAGTGACATTGCGGCTCACGGTGCTCTCCCACGGTACGGGAGGAGAGCTAGACCTGTGACATCACTGACAGCGCTCTCCTTCCCGCCCCGCTCAGCTGCCTGAACATTTCTCTCCTCCCCGCTGGACACTGCGCTGTGTCGGAGGGGACTCAGACCAGCGCCCAGCGAGGAGAGAAACTAGGAATACACCGCAATTTTGGACGAAAGATAGTACTTTCGGCATTTTACCAAAAGTGCCATTTTCGGGCGATGTGTTTCGGCAGCCGAAATTTCGGTGCATCCCTAGTTGTGAGTATACCTAGCTCAAGAATGGCCATGCAATGCTTTAAAAAGCTGTTAAAACAGGGATAGGCAACCTCGTCAGCTGTTGTGGAACTACAAGTTCCATGAGGCATTGCAAGACTCTGACAGCCACAGACATGACTCCCAGAAGCAAAAGCATGATGTGATTTGTAGTTTTTACCACAGCTGAAGTGTCAAGGTATCCAACCCCTGTGTTTAAAGCATCTCTAATCCCAAAAACAAAAATCTTCTTTATTGCTATATGTTGTGGCTGCATTACTTTTCTTATTTCTGGCACACATAACCTGCTGTATGTACAGAAAAGCAGTGTTTTCACCATAGGATAGGACTACATTACCCTTCACCCTCTCCTCCATAACGTGGGAAGGGGTTCTGTAGTCCTCAGAGATAGCTGGAAACAATCTAACATGGAGGAGTGCGTCCCAGGCAAAGCGTACAGGAAGTTATCAGTTGAGCAGATTCCTGGCAGGAACAACAACAATATATATATATATATATCTATCTATCTATATATATATGATATATCTATCTATCATTTTTACACCAATTTGGCAAATTTGTGGCATATTTAAAAGACCAAAAGGGCCAAATAAAAGCTCTTTATTGTTAGGGTATTCATATCCTTTAAATTAGGCATTCCTTGTAACAGTGACATTTAGCAAGAAGCCATTCCGCCTTTTTGTAGAAGCGTATTTACGGCATGTAGAGTTACTATCACTTACAATAAGTAGTCAATGGCGTTTTGGACTTCTTCTTGTTCAGACCGAATATGTTAACACATGGATAGATTGCTCAATATAACTTATAATAATCATTCTGGTTATTATTTCCTATCTTTTGCATTTAGACGCTTTGTCTCCCCATTTCTTGGTGATGACGACATACATTTTTGCTGTGGCTGGGTACTTCCAAGAAGAGCTCATAAAAGCAACATTCAACACCAATTTCCTACACCGCTTTGATGCTCAAATGGATGGTAAGTGATATGTAAATATAGAGAATTATAAGGAGAGTGAAATCCACTCATCCCCATAATTAGAGCCTATGTGTGACACTGAAGCTGTCACAGGTCGGCTCTATTGATCGGGAAGTGAGCGAACACATAACGGCGATCACTGAGTTCCCAATCCTCTCTTTGCAGAGAGGGGTGATTGTCAGTCATCACTCCCCACAGGGATTCCCCACCTCCCCTCTCCGATCCTCCAGCACTGATTAGAGGAATGGAAAGGAGAGGGGGCGGGCACAGCTGGCTCTGGATCTAGAGAGGCAGAGGCAGCTGCCAGTTAGGTAACGGGGTGGACCCTGACAATATAGCCCGCTATATGCTGAGTTTTGTGTCACAGGAGGACATTAGTATATGTCCTCCTGTGACCCTAAAGAGAACTATGGGCAAAAAAAGGTTGAGCCATAGTTTTCTTTTAGGCTTATACTTTTTTAATTGCCCAATTTATTATTATTATTACTATTATTATTATACAGGATTTATATAGCGCCAACAGTTTGCGTAGCGCTTGACAATATAGGGAAGACAATATAATTGCAATACAGTTCAAGATAAGATGGTAAGGAGGGCCCTGCCCGTGAGGGCTTAAATCTAAGAGGGAGGGGCAAGTGATACATGAGGAGGTAGCTGTGTTGGGATAAATTGTTTGAGAAAGAGTTCAGTGGTTCTACACATCTATTTAGTAAGTCACCTAAAATAATTGATGTAGTTTTATCTTTCTTTTAATCAATATGTTCCAAGTCTGCTTAAAGTTATGTGGTGGACAAATGTACTCAATTCATTGTTCTTTTTGCATCAGTTTTATTTTCCTCTTCTGGAATTTGTATTAATATTATTAGTCATTGCTTATGTGCTACGTTTGTTGTAAAAAGAAAATGAAGGAAACAAAACATGTTACAAATAATGTTAATAGTTTAGTAACCTAACCAGTCTGATGTCACGTCTAGGAGCCACATTTGCTGTGCGTTGCCCTGACATGTATGTCAGGACTTTAAAATAAAATGCAGTACATCCCTGCTATACATGCACAGCTCTTTTATAGACCCTGCAAGTACAGAAAAATTAGCTGTTGATCTGGTAGAAATACACTCAGCTCCTAAGTCCTACTGTGGGCTAACCGCACACAGCATTTTTGTGGACTAAGTGGTGTAAGCTCTGCCCAGTTGTCTTTTGCTAAACTACTGAATCACACTCCTTCTCATCTCCACAACATAAGCCCTAATTGATCTGTAGCCCCAAGATGAGAATTGGGAGGGCTAATCCAGCTCCTTGAGGTAACACCAGATGCGTGGACAGGACACAGGACAAAATGGCTCTGTAGCGACACAGGTGGAGCATGGATTTATTGACTTGCCGACCTCTGTGACCAGCTAATCCTTTTTTGCTTCCTGAGGTTTGTGTTTAATTCTACCCAACCAAAACATGTTCTATTGATTTAGCTAGGATATATTCTTTTAGGGCTTGTTTACACCATGTTCATTAAGCTGCATTCTTTTGCACACCACTGCATGCATAATGTGAACAGGGACCATAGGAAACAATTGCCCAGAGGTGTACTGCCTGTATACTCAAGTTTTTTGTAATTGTATAAATTAACATTTAATAATTGCTGTGCAGCGGCTTGTTTTAGTAGTGCTTACTTCTGCTAGCATGGAGCCGGCTTCCCAGCCAATCAGCATTGACTCAGCCAAACAGCATGGAGCCGGTTTCCTGGCCAATCAGAAAGCTGGGTGGCGAGTCATTACCCGGCTCCATGTTCCCTCATGGCACTGCCGAACAGAGGCAATCTCTATCTGACCAGAAGTTCCAGTATTGGGGTTAAGTATCGGAACATTTGGGCGAGTACGAGTACTCCCCCAAATGCTTGGTATCGGCACCACTACCGATACTAGTATCCGTGCATCCCTACTTCAATCCAGCCCATTGACGCGATACCCTGCGCACAAAAAAACAGACCTGAGCCTTTTTTTTTTTTTCTAGATGCGGCACACCGCTTTGCATGGCAGTGCGTTACTGTGTATTTTGATGCCCTGCAACACAGGTCCAGTTAATTGGGGTACTATTCAGAATGCTGACGTGCCGTGTGTTGTGACTTTACACCTTTGTTGTGACATTACACGTTACCACAACACAAAGGTGTAAAGCTGGGCCTAGAGCATTAACTACTTTTGGATAGAGAGGGGGGAAGTTACAATGGTTGTCAGGTTTTTAGTTATATGTGTGTCCTCATTGGGGAGTTTTTCCCTCCTTCCTGTCCATGTGATGCACTTACAGAAATGGTGGCAGTGGTTGTCACAGAATAAGAGAAGAAGCCGCAATAAAAGCATTCTTTTAAAGTTTTTACCCTTCTTCATTTCTGCCTATTTATCTGGCCACACACATTGTAATTTGATGAGTTTAATTAGAATTGTATGGGAATCTAAATTCGTAAGGAGGTCAAATAAAATCTAGTGGATTTGTGAGTTTTGGTTTGTGGGTTGTATGAGAGATTGGACAAACTAAACCTATGCAGCTTATAAAGCTTGTCATACACTTTACAATCTTTTTCAATAAGTACTTCTTATATTTGTATCTTTTAAAATATATTTTTTTTTTTGTCATCATTTATTGTTGGTAGATAGTGGCTATAGAGCATGTAATGTTTCTTGTCCTCTGTTGTATTTTAGCCTTTAATCCCAGTATAAGCAAGAAGTCACACTTCTACCTTATGGAGCTGAATCGTGCCATCTGTATAGAGCACCCAGAATATGGAGTTCCCTGGTTCCATGAGCAATATTGTCAGCAGACGCAGCATAGAAGTGAGTAAGGCTGAGTCCCCTACACTACTGTCATGTGATATGTAATCCTGATCTCTTGTCTGTAAAACGCCTTTCTTTTTTGTCCATTGAGGGACACAGTTATTCAGGAACCGTGGGGTTATACTGCCACCTACAGGAGGTTGGGACACTGGTAAACAGAAAAATTGTAAGCCCCCCACTCCTCTACCCAGTATGCCTTAGGTTTTTTTTTTTTCATAGTAGCCTAAGAGGTTAGATACCTGATCTTCAGCTCTGCTGACAAAGTCTATTTTTTTTATGCTAGCTTTCCTTGCTTTGTGGAAGTGTTTTTTTTTTACATAGTTACATACATTGCCTGGCCACAAAAAAATTCACCACCTGGATTTTGGCCAGTGTTATGATCTGGGGTTACTTCAGTTGATCTGGTCTAGATTCAGCAAAGTTATTTGCCTAAAAAATGAGGTCAGCAGCCTAACTGAATATACTGAATGACCAGGTTTTTCTGTCAATGGATTTTTCTTGTTCCCTGATGGCACATTGGGCATATACCAAGACGACAATGCCAGGATTCATAGGGCTCAAATTGTGAAAGAGTGGTTCAGGGAGACATCATCTTCACACATGGATTGGCCAACACAGAGTCCAGACCATAACCCCATTGAGAATGTTTGGGATGTGCTGGAGAAGACTTAACGCAGTGGTCCAACTCTCCCATCACCACTACAAGATTGCACCTCCTAGATGGAAATAAATGTTGTGACATTGCATGAGCTTAATGAAACAATTCCACAGCAAATGTGTGTAATCAAAGCTAAAGGCACTCAAAAAAATGAGCGTGTGTGACTTTTTTTGGCCAGGCAGTGTAGTTGTTAAGGTTATATAAAGACCAAGGTCCATCCAGTTCAGTGTGTGTGTATCACTAAGAGTGCCCATACCCCTGTATATTGCACACACTGAAGAAGACATCAAAACGTTTCTTGAATATATTCTCGCCGATACCACTTCCCTTGGAAGGGAGTTCCACAATTTAACCTCTCTCTTTTCTTCTAATTTCAGGTTATTTTTGATTTTATGGTAATCAGTTTATTACTGATTCTACCTTCATTAAACAATGTGTACATTAGTCATATGCCCTCTTAATCGCCTCTTTTCCATAGTCAACAAGTGTCATCTTTGTAATTTTTCCTCATAGCTTAGGTCCTCCAGCCCCCTTATTAGATCTGTTGCCCTTCTCTGGTCTCTCTCCAGCTCAAGGACATCCTTTCTGTGGACCGGGGACCAAAATTAAACCGCATACTCAAGATGAGACCATTCCAATGTTTTACATAGTGGTAGACATACATGTGCAACACAAGTCAGTAACGGGGGGAGATTTCAGCTGCAGGGAGACCACATTCAGTACTGGTGACTAGTCTTTCACCCTCTGTTTGCCTTTTTTTTTTTTTAGTACGGCTTCCACAGTTCAGCTCCTCTGGAAAATTGACTTGCTATCATATCTTACAGGGCGACGTGCCACTCATTACCAGATTGATGAAATACTCAGTGAAATATTTGGAGGCACAAATTATACTAAAGTGTGTGTGAGGACTCCATACTGTTACTTTGTAGGTAAGCCGCACAAATATTTGTTACAACATCATTGCATCATACATTCCTGTACATAAATGGATTCTTACACAGTGTGCACAATTATTAGGCAAGTGCGTATTTTGACCAAATCAACATTTTTATGCATAATGTCCTAACTCCAATCTGTATAAACCTTGAAGGGTTATTGAATTTAAGCATATCAGGTGATGTGTAATGAGGGAGGGGGTGGCCTAAGGAGATCAACACCCAATATCAAGGTGTGCATAATGATTAGTCAGCTTCTTTTCCTCAGGAAAAATGGGCCAAACAAATAGATTTAACTGACTGAAAATTCAAAAATTGTAAAAATTCTTTCAGAGGGATGCAGCACTCTTGCAATTGCTAAGATATTGGGGCATGATCATACAATGCTCAAACTTTTTGTTGCAAATAGTGAACAGGGTAGCAAGAAACGTGTTGAGAAAGAGAGACGCAAAATAACTGCCAAAGATTTGAAAAGAATCAAACGTGAAGCTCCCAGGAACCCATTATCCTCCAGTGCTGTCATATCCCAGAACTAGAGCCTACCTGGAGTGCCCAGAGGTACAAGGTGTTCAGTGCTCAGAGACACGGCCAAGGTAAGGAGGGCTGAAACCCGACCACCACTGAACAAGACACATACAGTAAGTTGAAACGTCAAGACTGGGCCAAGAGATATCAGAAGACAGATTTTTCAAAGGTTTTATGGACTGATGAGATGAGAGTGACTCTTGACGGACCAGATGGATGGGCCCGTGACTGGATCGGTAACGGGCACGGAGCTCCACTTTGACTCCACTTGACGCCAGCAAGGTGGAGGTGGGATACTGGTATTATTAAAGATGAGCTAGTTGAACCTTTTCATGTTGAAGATGGACTCGAAATCAAATCCCAAACCTACTGCCCGTTTTTAGAAGACACCTTTCTTCAAGCAGTGGTACAGGAAAAAGTCTGCATCTCTCAAGAAGACCATGATATTTATGCAGGACAATGCTCCATCGCATACATCGAAGTACTCCACTGCATGGCTAGCCAGTAAAGGCCTTAAAGATGAAAGAATAATGACATGGCCCCCTTCCTCACCTGACCTAAACCCTATTGAGAACTTGTGGGCCCTTCTTAAATGGGAGAATTACGGTGAAGGACAACAGTGCACCTCTCTGAACAGTGTCTGGGAGGCTGTGGTTGCTGCTGCACAAAAAGTTGATCATCAACAGATGAAGAAACGACTCCATGGATGGGAGGCTGATGATTGTCATTGAAAAGAAGGGGGCTATATTGGTCACTGATTTTGTTTTTGAAAATGTTAGAAATGTTTATTTGTAAATTTTGAGTTGTTTGTTTAATATTCTCACTTTAACACATGAAAAAAAACAGGTGAGATGGGAAAATTTTCATTTTCCATTTAGTTGCATAATAATCCTGCACACTAATAGTTGCCCAATAATTGTGCACACACATAGATGTTCTCCTAAGGCCTCATTCACACACAACGCAAGCAAAATTGTATATTGCGTATATATACGAGCGTCTATGCGCGTATATACGAGTGTCTATGCAATCCCAGAATGCATCACTTGTAATGGAATTTTTAATGTGCTGTACGCGCGTATACGTGCATATATGCGCGTAAATACGCTGCCCGGACGCATCTCTGTTCCATTCTTTTTGTGCGCATATACGCTACGCAAATATACGGCTCCATACGCGGCTATATGTATGGAGCCATTTATTTGCATATGGTACAGTACGCGCGGCAGTGTGAATGAGGCCTAAGACTGCCAGAACCTCACTTTTACTTTCTTACATTTTCAGGTCTGAGGTTTATTAACATTTTGGATTGACCGAGAGCACTGTAGTTGTTCAATAATGAAATGAATCCTCAAAAATACAACTTGCCTAATAATTGTGTACACGGTGTATTTCTGATAAGTGGTACAATTATGGGGAGCCAGTGGCTCTGTTGTCTGACTAATGACTAAATCATTTCACAAACAGGGGCACTGTGATTTATGTTCATGGATATATGAGTAATGATGGGTCCAGTATGTATAGAAATTCTTAATTCCTGATTGATTGCCCGGATTCTTGAGTTATGATTCTCCGCAGATCCAAGATCTGCGTCCAGATTCACTATATACCCCTTCAGATGATTGAGTTCAGGTGTATCCAGTGAAGTGAACTGTTATATTTATATGTTTTAGTTATTGTACAGGAAAAAAGATGACGCCAAAAACATAAATGTCACCACTCACTCACTACTCAGACAAACACAATAATAACAATTAAAAGAGACAAAAAAGGAACATTTTACATTTTCCAATGTATTTCCTCTTCTTGAGTCGTCCTATGTTTTGTATTCATTAATACCAATCTCCGTAGTTTACCTTAAAGCGCTCACGAGAAGAGAGGCTAAAACACCCATCTGCAACTACTTGTTTATTACTTAACCCTAAGCATTCAGGACAGGCCTCGACTGGACTACCTATTTGCGTTGTATTTTTATATTGAATCCAACTATTCCATATGTCTGAAAACTGTGAATACCTATCCCGTAATATTGCCCTCAATTCCTCCATACATTGCAGGTAATACATTTCCTCCATCCATTCCTGGACTGTAGAGAGAGCTACATAATAGGGCACTCTTAGAGTCACGTAAGCAAATAATAAATAATATAGTATTGATATTACATGGTTCAATGCTTCCTCTGCAAGACATACCTTTTCCATCAGTGTTAGATCCCTGTGTACTTGCCCTCTACTCCGTATCTTACAATAAAAATCTTTAAGTTGAAAATAACGCAAACAATGTCCACGCGCAGAAATCGAATCTCTAAGCAACACTGTAAATGACTTTAATCCATTCTCTGTCAATGCCCAATAATTGGGAGACAGTTTTGTATTATCCCAAATAAATAGCTCTTGGATGTCAAGTCCCGGGACGAATCTGGTTTACCCATAACTGGTGTCATAGGTTCATAATATGAATGAATCTTGTAATTCTTAATAAGTGTCTCCCACACCTTTTAACATAGGGTGCAAACATACTGGAAGATCTTTACTCAAGGGGCACAGAGTAGGAGCTAGCCAAGTAATAGTTACTATAGGTATGGGGGGAGAAGTGCCTCTACTTGTACCCAGAGCTTATGAGTCACATGAAAAAATCATGTCTATTAAACGAGCAATAGGAACGGACTTATAGCACAGTTCTACAAGTCAAACCCAATCCACCCTCTTGCTGGCGCTTTATCAATATGGTATATCTTAACCTTGTGGCGTACCTGCTCATATATATCGAATTAGCGTAGAGCGCAACAAGCAAAAAAATGACCTTGGTATCGCTATAGGTATTGTCTGAAAAACATATAGTAGACACAGTAATATATCCATTTTATACAGAGCCAGTCTACCAAGCCAAATATGTCTCATTTTACCCAATGTTTGCAGTTTCTGAGAGATTTCTGTACTTCTTTCTTTGTTGCCAAAAATACTCCCAGATATGTTATTGTTTCCAAACAAATTTTAATCCACCCCTTCCTCTATTTCCTATCCACTCACCCGCCCTCTCGCACATACCTCCCTTCCCAGTCCACCACCTGTCTTAAAGGAGAACTATGGGGTTAAGTCTTTTCCCCATAGTTCTCCTTAGGGTAACGGGAGGACACAAACTAGCGTCCTCCCATCACCCTAGGCTCAGTATACCCCGAGCTGCTGCTCGCGGTATACTGAGACGCCGCAGCTGAAGCGGATCCCGACAATTGTGCCGGGATCCGCCCAGCTGTGTGACTGACACCTGGCTCTGCCTATCTAAAGGCAGAGCCAGCTGTACCCGCCCCCTCCCCCGTCCGTTCCGCCAGTCAGCGCTGGCGGATCGGAGCGGGGAGAGGGGAATCCAGCCCCTCCCCTGTCACGGCAGAGAGCCATGACAGGATCGAGAGCTGAGCGAACGCTGGTATGTGTTCGCTCACCTCCCGATCTACTAAGCCGGCTTGTGACAGTCTCATTGTCACAGGTCGGCTAGAACTATGAGGTGAGTGAAAAGCACTCACCTCATAGTTCTCCTTTTAATAACATTGTATTTACGTCTCCGCCTTCCACAATAATGATATTTTCTTTTATCTAAACATCTCACCCCTCTTTTATTATATATTTCAATATTCCACTCTACCTGTTCACACTTTCCATATCCTTCCTTCTGCCTTTCACTCCTTTCTAACACACCTGTCACATATCCTCCAGCCTAACTCACCGCATCCATATTCCAAAATAAAGGGAGGAGGCATAGGGATAAAAGCAAAAAACCCCACTATTTTGGTGTATATACTTTCAGCATCCATAGTATCGTACCTCTGCTGTATATGATCTTATAACCCTATCACATCATCGTTTATACCAACATTATAATAAATGAATACTCCATTTTTTTCATTTTTTCCAGCTCCATAATGCCAAAACTTTTGGAACGGAATGTCAAACTAGCTCATTTAGCTATCATCCACAACCTTTGGCTATTTAGTGTATTCAGGCTAATCAAAATGGGTGATTGAATTATCTGCCCTAACATTGATGCATGGAGTGGGAATATGATCAGATGTACTTTTATTTGTGATCTATATTTCTTTTGTCCATCCCACTGATTGGAAGTTCTGTAGTGGTGACAAACATCTGGCCATACTGTCTTAAATCCAAATCAGTTTGGAAGCCTGGATGATACAAACATTGCCAGCTTAAAAGAAACGGGTAGTGACGGAATATAGAGGCTGCCGTTGCTGACTTCCACTTCTTAAGTTGCTAGTTGCCTGACTTTCATGATGATCTAGTGACTTTAATTCTTTCAGAGTTACTGATTTGGAAGGAGGAGTTCTGACTTTACCCTGACCTTCTGATCAGCTTGCATGTCATGGGTCAGGAAGTATTGGGGGCCACAGACAGTCAGGAACTGGCATATATTGTTCTAGAATACTGAGATGTTTCTCTGATTGCAGGCTTCCTTTGCTAATAATGAAACTTCTAATTTATGTTGTTTTTGCTCTGCAGATATTGAATACATTCTAGATAAAGAGGGAAACCCTATTGCATATGTGGAAAATGATGTTCTTTCATCTGACTCCTCAATGAGTGACCATGACAGTCAGTTACAGGAAAATGAGCCTTTACCAGCAGGAGCTCAAAGGTCAGTGGTAACAGCAAGGAAATGGGTTCTGCTGCTCGCAGGTAGTAATCAAATTCCACCTATCATTTTTATTGATTTAGATTTGAAAGGTTAAAGTAGCATTTGATTGGTTGCAGTGGGCAACACCTCCCTATCTTTTACCCTGTACAGAAAATGTGATCGGTGGAGTTCAGGCACCTCTACTAAACCTAAATGGGTATGGCTGTTTGCTACCAGGCAATAGTCTCTACAACATATAGTTTTTTTTATCAACTTTTATGTCTTGGTCATGCTGTACTTAACAAGTTTAGCTGACCTGTTGTTAAACCCTTCCTTCATACCGCCTGTGGGACTTGGGAATCTGATAAAAAACTTTGTGGTGTTGTTTACCATTGTGGACCATTACCAATATCCATTGTTCATTTATTTGTATGCGTCCCTGGACCTGCAGTCTTCAGCTCTCTTTTTATCATGTCTCACATGACACTATTCTTCCCATGAATTTACCCCAGGTGCATTGTCCTATCATCTGTAGTCTCATATGTATGAGTTGTTACACCAATGTCATTTAACTCTCAATTTCATCTGTTATATGAAAAATCAGTAAAGTAAAACTTTTCTTTCATTAATGTAGGTTTGCGGTGGATTTTCTCCATCATGGGGCATGTCTGAGGAATACACTCCATTTAAAAGGTTCACCTGAAATGAAGAAAAGACACTTGGAGATCTTGGGATACCGTGTCATTCAGGTAGAAATAGAACTATGGGCATGTTTTAGGAACTCTTCTGAGTGCCAGTACTAACAATGACTAAACATTTGTTGTGAGAGAGAAGAAAAGAGCAATATGGCCAGTGACATTACAGTGATGTTATTGCACAATATAGGGGCTTCTATTCATAAATGTATCTGATTAGTGACTAATACGCCAAGACCCCACTCACACTGAGCGATTTGTAGCGTGATTTCCGCTCAAAAACCGCTCAAACGTCGGCTCAATGTAGCTGTAGCTGTAAATGCATTTCAATGGAGCTGTTCACATCTCAATGTCGCCTGTAGCTTGTCGCTTGAACATAACCTATTTTTAAGGAGATTTTGTGCGATTTGGCCCAATAGACTTCAATGGTGTAGCACAATGTCGCACGAATTTGCGCAACATTGTCGCTCTACAGAAGTGTCGCTGGTTGTACTGTGAGGGACAGCATTACAGGTGATAGTTAAGCATTTAAATTATAATAGCAATGCAGACCTAAAGGGGTATTTTGGGTTTCTTGTTTCTTTTTACTTTACATACACTATAGGACTTCACCATGTCTGGATAAGATCTGGAGCAGATCTGCAAGCGCAGTGCTTTTAAAAAAAAAAAAGCTTAAAATGTGCTTTCATGTGCGTTCCAGTGCATTTGCATGGGTTTTCAATGCTTTTGCATGTGTTTTGTGGTACGTTCCAGACCAGAAAAAACAGTGCCTGCAGTATTTTTTTTACCCCGCACCGGAACGGACTGCGTAAACAGAGCCCAGAAATGCCATAGGAATACATTGGGATGCATTTCAGGTGCAGACAAAAACTGTCCTGGTCCAGATCTGGTCTGGACATGGTGTGATGGTGTGAACAAGCCCTTAAGTTGACCATGTTGCCAGACCATTCATTTTAGCAGCAATCTTCCTATAAGAGTATATCATATTTTATGCATGGTCAAAGTGTCCGTTTTGTAGACATTTAAAAGTCCGAAGACTTCTGCAGGATGCTGCCATCTTGGATGTGATGTCAGCAGTACCCCCTTTAAAGTGTCTACCATTGGGGCAGCAGTATACCCTCCCAGAAGAAGAGAGGGCTATGACTTGCAAGGTTAAGTTGGCAGGACTAGGGAATGGACTCCTGGAGTAGTCAGATGTTCTATGGCACATTGCAAGTCAATAAAAAAAAAAAAAAATCTGTTAATGGAAAGATTTTTCTGTGCTTTTACCTGCAACATTTTAAGTTGGTGACAGGGTCTATGTGTGGTGGGCCCCAAAGAAAGCTGCACTGGGTGAAATACCGTATTTGCCGGCGTATAAGACGACCCCCTACTTTTTGTGTTAAAACATAGGTTTTGGGCTATACTCATCGTATAAGACGAGTAGAGCCCAAAATAATGTTTAAATACACCCACTAACATCCATGGCGGTATTCCCGAGTGTGGCTTGGGGTTAATTTTCAGTACCATAAGCGGTAACCCCGAGCCACACTCGGGATTACAGTCTCTTACCTTGTCCACGATCCCTGCTGTGTCCTCCATCCCTTGCGAGCGTCCGCGTCGCAGCGGGGCGGAACCGGCAGCAATTTTAAAAGTGAAGAAAAAAAAATAGAACAAAAAACGAAAAAATAAAATCATCAGACCGCCAGGGAGGCTAATCTGTCAGCCCGCTGGATGTGCGGTAATACTGTATGTAAGGTAGCTTCGGCTACTTACAGTATACCGCGATGAGCCAATCACGGCAGGCTTTGTATTAATGAATACAAGCTTTGTATTCATTAATACAAAGCCTGCCGTGATTTGGCTCAGCACGGTTTACTTTATGTAGCCGAAGCTACATGCAGTATACAGTATACCACATCCATACCCGGCATGTAAGACGACCCCCGATTTTCGGGCGATGTTTTTAGTTCTCAAAACCCGTCTTATACGTCGGCAAATACGTTATGTTTTTAATGTGTTTTTCTCTTTTGATGTAAGTGTAACTAAGCACTTTGTATACCAGTTTCTGCAGCACTTGTTTTATATGTAGGGGCAAGAAAAATAAACATGAGGCGCATCTATGTAATGCTTGCACATTTACCATGTTTTGTCAAGTTTTAAAACACAAGTAGAACAAAATACCTGTTGATCTTGCCAGAAATCCAGTGAGCGCCTAACTGACAACACTGCGTTTGCTGTAGTGTTGTCAGCTCAGGCTGAGTTCTCCCCTGTTGGACTACAGAACATCTCCCCCAGGAGTGACAGCCCTGCTAGGCATTTATAGTGCATCAGAGGTAAGGTTGGCAACCAACAACAAGACGTTAGGAGCTCACTGGATTTATGGAAGGATCAGCTCTGGTATTTTTCTATACTTGCAGCTTTTTTTTAAAGAGACACAACAACGGTAAATGTGCATGTGTTGCATAGACGTAATGAATTTCTGCCCTAACATACACTTTAATGACAACTTCATTATACTTTCTGACGAAGAAAAAAACATTGCTGAGTTTTTGACCATTTGATGCCCAACCAAGGCTGACAATGTAAATGACAGTCTCTTGTATAAAACCTGTAAGGAAACGCCTTACTCTAGTGTAGCTTATGTAACCAGGAAATGAATTGGTCCGGCATGTTTCTGTGTTTGACATGTATATTTCCATAAACTGTCCACCAAGCTCAATGTATACAGCTATTTAAAGGAATTCCTCATTGATTTACAGATCCCCGTATTTCAATGGAACGCCACAAAACCTGGAACAGAGGTTGCCATAAGAAGTTACCTCAGGAAAAAGATATTTGAAGATGATGTGTATAGAGTCTGAAGTGTATTTTATGGATTAAAATATGATTTTTATAAAGCAGCTGTTGTGCAAGTTTTTCATAAGTTATATGGTGATTCCTTTTGTTGGGGCCCCTACCTTTAGTAACATAGAGAAAGATCCCCAACACCTAAAACCAGTGGGGGTCCCTACACTGATTGTTTGTAACATTGCTCAGTCCAGCCAGTAAGTTTTATAGTGGTTTCTGTAAAACAAAAAGTGCAAATAGATTGGGCTACTATACCAGATATGCCCAACAGGTCACAATGAGCATAGTCATTAACATAAAACAATAATAATAACACAGTTCTTATGTAGGCTCAAATGCCTTGTAAGGTGCAGCACCCAATGCACTGTAATGCAGTTCTTTCTTGAGAACATGACCACTTCAAGCAAAGCGGATGAGTCCTTAATGTAACCATAATGTTTTTCAGCATTCTCAGAACCTGGCAGAACAGAAAATTCTCACCTTTGCACCTACTCAGATCTCTAACTTATACCCATATCTATTCTTCCTGGTAGCCAATAGAAAGGGGTACTGAGGCACCCATGTCCCACAGCTGTTAAATGAATAATGTTCTCAGTTCCAGGGGGAGCCATGGCAAAGCACTCCATCTGAGCAAAGTCAAACTTCCTGCAAATTGTGGCCAGGTTTAGGTGAATCTAGGCCATACCAATTTGCTAAATAAAATACAAAAGTTTTGCTAATACGTTTATGGTTGGCTTCACATCAAGAGAATGGCACCCCAATGCAGTAAAAGAACACAACTCCGATTGTATCTGTGTTGCAGTGCCCTGTGAAGCGTTAATGTGCTTTGTGGTATGCTGCATCTAGAAAAATTGTACAGTTGCCTTTTCTAGTCCGTTGTCATGCAGTGGCAACCCATTTCAAAGAAAGGACTTCCCTAACGCAGCATGTGTTAACACACGACTTAAAGCGCAGCACAGATGTGAATGGGGTCTAAGGCCACACACCAGACGCAGTGCGTTCCGGCCCGATTCTGGCTAGAACGCACTGCCGCAGGCTCACTTTTTTGTCAGGCAAGAGGGGGCATGGCAGGCCATTGAAGTGAATGACACCGTAGCCACACCCTCCGGCCGCAATGCGATCGACCGCACGGGATCGTAAGGCACAAAATGCTGCAAGCACTATTTTGATCGCACCGGACCGAAGGCATAATGTGCCTTGTGGTGCCATTCACTTCAATGGGCCGCCATGCCCCCTCCTGCCCCACAAAAAAGTGAGCCGGCCGCAATGCGAGGCAGTGTGTTCTGGCCAGAATCGGACGGGAACGTACTGCATCTGGTGTGAACCGAGCCTTTAATATATCTAGTGTTGTCCTGTAGACAACACGGTTTGTGCAATCATCTTCAGATTTACCAACAAATATGCAGTGGAGGACCTTCCACAATGGAAATAAAATGAATGGATTGTTTAGAAAGGAGCTTGTAATACATATGTAGTTAATGTAAAGGACATCATACTACTTAAACTCCCCATTATTCGGCATCCACGGGGATTGGTAGATTCCAGATAAATTTAGTTTCTGGTTACTTGAGAGTTACTATTAAAAATAGGTCTAACTAATGCCATACCCCATACTATACCATAACATAAACTCTGTATTGACTTCATAATAATATTGAAATGCAATAATCAAAAGTAAATTATGACAAATAGGCACGCAATTGTTTTCAGGATAATACATGCCGCAGAACAGCGAGTACACAGGATGTTTTTTTTTCTGGTTAGTTGAATACCGGATAACAGAGTTTACTATATAAGGTGCAATCCGGTTAGGAACCTACATCCTCTATATTCCAATTTAGACTACTATGTATTGTCAGGCTTCAAAATACGTTTATTCATTTAACTAAAAATTTCTGTACAACCTTTCTTTATTTTTTTAACAAGCAGTAGCAAACAAAAAGAAATGAACGTGTTGTAAAATAAGTAACTGTTAAATGTTTACAACTTGGTCAGTTTAAAAAGGTTAAGGCGAGACTCAAGAATCGTGGCACCAGAGGCGTAACGGATTTCCTTTAACATTCCGCTCCATTCCTTCTTGTCATCTTCAAACCTGACGAGAAGACAGCAATTTTATTGAGGGCAGACAAACTGAAATTCACATTGTTGTGTATAGCAAACCGTTCTATTTCAGACTTTAGAGATAGGTACAGGCAGTCCCCAGGTTACGAACAAGATAGGGACTGTAGGTTTGTTCTTAAAGGAGAACTATGAGGTGAGTGCTCAGTAGATCGGGAGGT